TAACCAAATATTAATGGTGGGCGATATTAGTATTAACTACTTGCTACCTTGTCAGGTGGAGGGAAGCAATGAATTGGAATTTTCCCCAACTCCAGCAATATCCTCTCCAACCTCTACTGCAAGCTCTTAGAAGAGGAGAAAAAGGGCATGGGGAAAAGGAGGACAACAGCACCCCCCTTAGGAATGGGGTACAGAGGTACTGCAGTTGCCCAGAGAAGATCTAGGGTGCTGTCCCCCATTACTTCTCTTTACTCCTCCCCCTGCACATTGTCTAACAAATGGATGTCCATGTTGGGTGGTAGAAACTATCCACTACCCAAATCAGAAGTATTAAGTTCTGGTCTCAGCTCTATCGGTGCCTCACTTTGACCTAGTCAAAGTCAGCTGCTCTGCCTGGGACTCAGTTTCCCCATCTGTAAAGGGGTGTATGTGTTTGATTATATGACCACTAAGATTCCTTGGAATCTGGCTACTCAAAGTATGGTTGGCAAAGTGGCTGCAGCAGCATCACTTGGGGATCTTGTCAAATGCATGTTTTGATTCAGTAGCTTTGGGGTGGGCCTGAGACTCTGCATTTCTAACAAGCTCCTAGGTGATTCTTACACACTTTAAAGTTTGAGGTGTCCTGCCTTAAGACACCCCCAATCCATGAACCGAGTGTGGGTGTGCCTTTTTGTTTCCCCTCTCCTGGGTTCCTATCATACTCCCAAATTTTCTAGCTCTAGGATGACTTCCAGTGGCCAGAATAGTTTGAGATTTAGTGGTTTTCTGGCTGGGGCTTAGAGAATGCCACGTACTCCTTGAAATATAATACGACATCTACGCACACCCACTTACTAATAAATTAACTCACTACTTAACTCATCTACTCAATTCAAGAAATATCTAAGGGGCACCAGGCACAGCTTGAGGGCTGGAAACAAAAGGATGAGTAGGACACGGCCCCGGTCATAGTGAGCTTAGGGACATGCTTGAACAACCAGCTCTGACTCAGAGTGATAAGCACTTGTGTAATTAGCAAAGAGGATGCAATCCCATGAAATGTTTATAGTCAGAAGCGATGTTGTCACTGGCAGGAAAAATTCTGGAGGCAATCCACTGCTGTGTCCGCCTCCACCATCTGACTCTTTCCTGTGGCCTTAAATCTCTGGGTCCTCTGCCCACACAGAGGGATGTACTCTTGGGAAAGCCCTGTCTGGTGACTCACAGCATACTGACAGTGACGGCTTGCTTAAACCCTTCTCCATTTCCCAGTGATTAGGACCAGTGGTGTGCCTCTTCCCTTAGCTCAGGGGTTCTTAACTTGGGATCCATAGACAGATTATTTTGGGTAGGGGGCGAGGGAGTCCGTGTACAAACTGTTTTGTGTATGAGCTTAAGACATTTGTCTTGGGAGAGAAAGCCTACATGTTTTCATCAAAGGACGATGAAACCTAAAAATGGAGAACCAGAGTCTTGTTACTGTCCACTTGCTGCCCTGAGACCCTAGCAGTGGCAGCCCCTTCCTTCGCTTCTTCCTCCCCCATCTCCCCCATCTCCTCCCCCCCTTCAGCTGATATCTCCCAACTTCCTCTGTGCTTAGTTTATGTTAAAAGGAGCTCTGTCTTCCCTATCAGCCACTCCAAAGAGCTAAGGCAAGATCCTTGTCCCCAACGCAACACTGTCACATGTCAGCTCAGCTGGGCTACAGGGACAGAAGAGAAAGAAATCCCCGGGACCCAGGACCAGGTCTTTAGCAATTGCCTGGCTCATCGTCTGTCTTTAAAAGCCAGAGGTGAGAAGGTGAAATTTTTAAGTCACTCTCTGGGATTTCGGGGTGGTTTATGACCATGATCTCTGCTATGAAAACTCCCTTCCCTTCATCCTGTGAGGGGCCTACAGAGCGAAGGGCAGCAGTGAAGGAGTTGGGAGGAAGGAGACGGAGGGATTCCACAGGTGGGCAAGTTATCGATGACACCAGGGTGGCAACTGTTGGGTCTGTTTTTACTTTTAAAAAGTTTAGGCTTCAGAGACCATAGAGAGCATATATGCTGTCTTTAATACAGCATTCTTAGTTCAAATCCAGTCTTTTGCATGAAAGACAAGGAAGTATGTTTTAATATTTAAGGCAGAGAGTCCCATATCATTTCTATATGGTTGCGAGTGCATTATGAAGTCATTCTGCAACATGGATTTGTCTTTCTCCTTCTGCTCTAGAATAATCTGGGTTTATAAAATAAATTCATAAAACGCCCTTTGAGTATGCTGTGTGACTATGTTTTTCCTAGCCATCCTACTTCTGTCATGCGGGACTCAGGCTGAAATGAGTTGTCTTTCCGGAAGCAGAGCACCTGGTAAAGAGAGGGAGGGTGGGGCGGCCCAGAAGCATTCTGGGAAAGTGGAATGGGAACAAATATTTGCTGTGGAAAATTCAGAGTTGATTTTCATGGAAAACCCAGAGCGGATCCTCTCCAGCAGCTGTCAACTGCAGAGGGGTTTTCAGATCAACTGCTTTTGTTCAGTGTGAGCATATAGTGTGTAGGTCCGGCCCCAGGACAGAAGTGAACACAGCCCTGAGACCTGCTTCCAGGGGCAGGAGATGAGAAAGAGCTAAATGTTGCACAAACACTGATTTTAATGCAGAAAATCTACCAAAGGCGTGGATTTACAACCTCACATTACATAACCCATAGACTCGCAGAACATTCCATATTCATTTATTAAGCAAGCATTTCTTAAGAGCTCCACACCCTAGGCACTGTGCTACTGGGTGCCAGAGTTACATCCAAGAACAGAACAGACATCATTTCTAGCCCTCATGGCCCTTACAGTCTAATGAGAGAGATGGCCAATAGGCTCAGTACATTCAGAGCTGTAACAGGGATGACACTTCTAGAGTACTGTGGGGGCACAGAGGAGGGACAGCCAATCCTGACTCAGGAGATCACGGAAGCCCTCTTGGAGGAAGTGATATTGAGGCTGAGAGTTAGGGGATGAGCAGAAGTTAGCTGGACCATAGGGGTGAGGGGTGAGGGGTGAAAACAGGGAAGAGGAATTTCAGGCTAAGAACAGGATGTACCCTCTCAGGGCATACGGCCATATTCGACAACTAAGGTAAATATTAAATTATTTTTGTTTTTAGAATTGTCCAGTGTTTACAGTCCCCTAGCACATCTATGGCAACCAGAGCTAAGAGATCTTCTGTACCAGAGTTTTCAAAGTGTGTGCTGGTTTTTCAGTTCTGGAATGTCTACAAACTTCTCATGTGACTTTCACTTTCGCTTTTTTTTTTTTTTTTTTTTTTGGTGAGGAAGATTGGCCCTGAGCTAACATCTGTTGCCAATCTTCCTCCTTTTTTTTTTCTCCCCAAAGCCCCAGTACATAGTTGTATATCCTAGTTGTAAGTCATTCTAGTTCTTCTATGTGGGATGCCGCCAGAGCATGGGGTGATGAGCGGTGCGTAGGTCCACACCCAGAATCCGAACCAGCAAACCCCAGGCTGCCAAAGCAGAGTGTGCAAACTTAAGTACTCGGCCTTGGGGCTGGCCCCCTGACGTTCACTTTTAAGTGTTATTTGATTTCTTAAAAATAAACTTATTTTAGAACAGTTCTAGATCATTATTTGATTTTTGACTTTATATTTTGAAATAATTTCTAACTTACAGAAAAGTTACAAGAAAAGTGCAAACAAAAGCTCCCATATATTCTTTAACTATATTCACCAATTGTTAACATTTTGCTACATGTGCTTTATCCATTTATATCTATCTACTATATGTATATTCACACACATTATTACTATCACTATTATTATTGTCACCTTTGCCAAACATTTTGACACATTATACCCTTTGACCCTAAATACTTTAGAAGGTATCACCTAGGGGACATTCTCTTAAGGAACCACAGTACAATGATCAAATTCAGGAAAACTAACAGTGATATTACGCTACTATCTAATATACATTCTGTTTGCAAATTTCAACAATTGTCCCAGAAATCTCCTTTACATTTTTCAGGTTTGAGATCCAGTCCAGGTCACATAGTGCCTTTAGGTGTGGTGTCTCTTTGGGATCCTTTAACCCAGACCAGAACCTCAGATTTTCTTTGCCTTTCATGCAAAAGCCAAAAAATATATAGAAGACCCCATTGCTTATCACATCACTCATGATAGTGTGTCTCGTTATTGGTTTTGTTAACTTTTATTTTGGTTTTTAGTGTATATTTTAAACTGTAACACAAGCATACATATCCAAATGTGTTTATATTCAAGTTTTATCACAAAGGAGATTAATAAGGAGCTAACCTGCTCTATGTTACCTAGTTTGAATGCAGATTGCAGTGTTTAGTTTCATATGTTGGAACTTCTTGTCAATGTGTCATTGATTAATAAGATTGTAGCTGTGCATTGGTCTTTAAAAAGGCTGGATGTTAAACTGTATGAATAACAAATTATTGCTTAGCCATGTATATTGGAATTTTCTTGATACTGTACAACCGAAACAACATACAAGAGTAAATTGGAGTCCTGAGGCTGATTTAAGGTGATGGTGAGCCCCACTGGACAGAGTTGGATTCATCAAAAGAGACTCATTGGTCTCCATGCCTGATTTTACACTAATTTGGGCTTATGAAATAAATTTATAAAACACCCTTTGCATATGTTGAGTGTATGTTTTATACATTGGGCTCCTGTACAAGATACAGATTAAAACAAGAGTTCCCTTGTTTTGGCCATTTGAAAGCCACAGCTTGTACCACTATAGATCCTACCCGCTGTACAATCTCATTAGCTCTAACAACCCCAGGGCTCAGGGTAACCACCCACATCCATTTACCAATGGGTCACTGCATGTGGTCCCTGTTACTCCAAATTGCACAAAATTTGAGATTTCTTTCTTTTCTTTTTGAAATTCAGTTCTCTTTATGTTAAAACATACCAAGACAGGCATTTTAGGACTGTAGCACACTTGATGCTCTGACCCACCCACGCAAATGACCCAGGCAAAGGACAGTCCTACCCTGGAGAGTGTCGAGGTCTTATTCCACAAAGGAGACACTGAGATCCAGAGTGGTGTCTTCTGGAGAAGGAGAGCTGTTAACGGACAGACTGCAACCCAGCTCTGCCTGTGTGGGAGATTGAGTGGCTTTCTGATGGCAGTGTGCTCCCTCGGGAGGGGACCAAGCTGTCTTCCCTTCTGTCTTGGCCAGGGTGGGTGGTTGGCAGCTGAAGCAGGCCTTTAGCAGGGTCCTTCGGTCTGGTTTACTCATCTCAAATGCAGCCACAGAGTTGGAGCCCAGCCAGGTCGTCGGGGGCTTCTAGATTTCCTAGTAGATTTTGGAATAGAAAATGGTCCTAACGGAAACCCAAGACTGAAGAGTGCAACTGCTTTAGAAAGCCATTTATAATATATTTTCATTGGGAAAATGCAGTCTAAGTTCCAAAAGAATTTTCCAGGCTCAACCAATGTCTCTATAAATTGGAGACCACTTATAACTCATTCCATTCCATCGAGCCATTGTGGATTTCACATTTACATGTACAAGGGCAGTACAATAGCTACTTGGTGGGTACCAAGGGGTATATGGATAAGTTTAGGACATGGCCCCATGCGCAAGAAGCCTACAACTATCCCAAGGAGATGATACATACATACATCAAAAACTTAATAACAATATAAGGTAACATTTATGACATGCTCAGGTGAGTGGAAGAGAAAAACAGATCATGGAAAATTGCAGAAGGAGAGCAGTCTGCCATATGGCTAAACGCTGGGGCTTAAAAGTCAAGTGACCTGGATGAAATTGCAGCTTCCCCACTTTCTAGCCCCTGTAACAAGTTACTTAAGTTCTCTAAGGCCCTTAGAAGAGCTCTGGGCATTTTCGGCATCCCCAAGTCACCTCTCATTATCTCTCAGTCTGAGCATGAACTATCATTTTAAGGATGGAGAGGACGTGCGCAGAACAGGAATGGGCTTCGCGACAGGGGGACAGAATCATGATGAATTATCGTCGCGAAAAGCTTCACGAGCTACTTCGGTAACTTTGTCGGCATCTACCAAGCTCGGGCGGAGGCGGGCAGTCCTGGCAACCTCAGTCCGCCCACCCTCCTACGTCGGCTCTCTTTGGGACCGCCCGCCCCCGGAGATCCCAGCACCCATCCCCAGGGGGCGCTGCCGCCCCGCCGCCGCAGCCCGGCCTGGCCCGGAGCGCGCCCCCGCCGCCCGCCCCGCGCGTGCGCGCCGCCCAGGTGAGGAGGCGGTGGCCTGAGCCGCGGCGGGGGCGGGCTCCTCGACCGGCGGGGCGGAGCCGGAGAGGCCCGGCCGGGGCGGGGCGGGCGGCCGCGGGGCCCGGGCCAGACCAAGGCCAGAGGCGGGACCAGCCGCCGCCGTCTCCGTCTCAGTGTCCCGTCCCCCACAGCGCCGGGCAGCCGCCGCGGGAGAAGCGGAAACTGCCGGGAGCGCCGCGCCGGCCGACAGCGCGCCGTGGAGCAGCGGGGCGGCCTCCGTCCGGCCCAGCCCCGCCGAGCGGCGCCCTCTCCCCCGCCGCCCCGCGCCCCGCGCCCCGCGCCGCGGCCCCGCCCCGGCCCCGCCCGAGCTCGCCGCGCGCCCCCGGCCCGGCCCCCGCCGCCCGCGCGCGCCCACCTGAGCCCGTCCGCGCCCACCTGAGCCCGTGCGCCGGCGCCATGGCGGAGCAGGAGAGCCTGGAGTTCGGCAAGGCGGACTTCGTGCTGATGGACACCGTCTCCATGCCCGAGTTCATGGCCAACCTTCGGCTCAGGTGAGGGCGGAGCCGCCGTGCGCAGGGGCGCGAGCTTGTGCTCTCCCGAGAGGGGGCGCCCCTGCCGTGCGGCCGGATGGGGAGGGAGTCGGGGGCGCGCCGAGCTCGAGGATGGAGGGCGGCCGGATTGGGGTATCCCGGGGTCCGCTGGCTCGATGGTTGCGCTTTCCCGAGAGAGGACGCCCTGGGATGCGGCCTCATTGGAGTGTCAGGGGCGTGCTGAGCTCCAGGGCTGCGCCTTCATGAGAGGGGGTGTCCCTGGCTGCTGTTCGGACGTGGGGTGTAAGGGGTGTGCCGAGCTGGAGGCAGCGCTTAGGGCAGGGCAGGCTAGTGCGCTGCCCCAGGTAAGTGATGTGGGCGGGCCAGGTGAGCTAATGGAAACAAAAGGAGAGGAAAGTAAAAACTTAAGGGAGAGTCGTGGCGGCCCCGAAGGCCCCGGGAAGGCTGGAGGGTTGTTTTGGAGAGAGGCTAGGGTCTCATCCCCGTTTCACACTTGGTTCTTTTCTTTTTCTCTTGCTGCTGCTGCTTTTTTTTCCTGGCCTGGTTCCATTCTGTCATTCAGGATGCTATGGAGTGATCCCTGAGCTGTCTGTTCCGGGACACTGGCTATTTTTTAGTTACTTTCTAAACGTAATTAGACACGTTTCCAGACATCGAAGAGACTGCTCTGCTTGCCAGTGCCAAGATAAACTGTCTGAATTTGACAAGGCATTCATGGTTTCAGTTTTTTCAACGAGTTATGGATGGAGCCCTTGTGTTACTGACATCCTTGAAAATATGGTCACCGCTCGGTGCCCCTAAATGGGCTTCCAAGACGAATTTGTTTCAGAAAGTCTTCTCCGTGTGATTTTTTTCACTTTTGATAGGATAGTATGTAAGCAGGGCTTTAAAGTAGTTTCACTTTTTTTTTTTTTGACATTACAGTAAGTGGAATTTCAAAATAACTGACTTTTGGGGCTTGTATGTTTCCTGGAAGTTCTAGCCCCATTTCTTGTAAAGTTGTAGCTAACTATTACTCCATAAGCTTATAAAGTGAAAATCATAATCTAGGTTTGGGTTTTCTCAATATTAACTACCCGTGTTAACTTTAGTTTAAGAATTTAAAAAACTTTCTTAATCTTTGAAATTTCAAACCCCGTGGAATCTTCATCTGTTCTTGGCTAGTTTTTATTACATCCCAGAGTATGAAGCAGGGGCACAGATCCCAGTTCTACGCTTGCCTACCACGAATTGTCCTTGAGCCAGTCAATGTGTCTGAGTTTCCTAATTTGTAAAATAATGAGAATATCCAAGATTTTTCGGTTCTTGTATTCTTTTTCTCTTTTTCTTTTCTTTTCTTTTTTTTTTTTTTGAGGAAGATTAGCCCTGAGCTAACACCTGGTGCCAGTCCTCCTCTTTTGCTGAGGAAGACTGGCCCTGAGCTAGCATCTGTGCCCATCTTCCTCTACTTTGTATGTGGGACACGTGCCACAGCATGGCTTGACGGGTGGTGCCATATCTGTACCCGGGATCTGAACCAGTGAACCCTGGGCTGCCGATATGGAACATGTGAACTTAACCACTGCGCCACGGGGCTGGCCCCCTCAGCTCTTATATTCTTGTTTGCTTTCACATGTCATTGGTTGCAAAGTCTCTAAGTGTGAGGCTTGAATCTTAAGTAAGATTATTAAAGTGAGCCTAAATTAACTCCTATGAGCACAGAAGAGAACTTTGCAATTTAATTCTCCATTGTGCAAGGTACTCTAAGAGATAAGGGAGGAGGATCCAGAGAACCATAAGGTGTGTTCCTACTTCTCAAGGAGGGGGCATGTCAATGAAGACAGGGAGAAAAGTGAAAATTTCCATTTATTTATTTACTTCTGAGGAAGATCAGCCCTGAGCTAACATCTATGTCAGTCTTCCTCTGTTTTGTAGGTGGGGCACCGCCACAGCATGGCTAATCAGTGGTGTAGGTCTGCACCCAGGATCCAAACCTGCGAACCCAGGCCACCAAAGTGGAGCACGTGGAACTGGAACCACTCCGCCATGGGGCCGGCCCCTTTATTGATTTAAATAATAGGTCAAGAAAACAATAGAAGAGTTCAGCCTTATAGAGTTTGGGGGGATTCTTTGCCAAGTAATTGTACAAACTAATTGTTCTGGAAGTTCAGAAGAGGGAGCGATGCCTTAGGCTGGCTCAGAAACATGATATGGAGAAGGAAAGGAGGAGTTGAGATAAGTCTCAAAGGATGGGTAGGGTTCGTGTAGGTGGAGAACATTCCAGGTGGATAAAGTGGTGTGAGCAGAGGAGCAGAGGCATGAAAGCTGACTCTGTTTGGGTGATAGAGAATAAACTAGGTTGTCTGGAGGGGAGTTGTGGGAGGAATCATCAGCTCTCCTTAGCACGACCCTTGGCCAATGCCCAGGTTTCTAGTTCTACGTTTATCCCAATCACCAAGTCCGTCAAGATCCTGGATGTTCAGATGTGCATGTGTCTCATCTGTGTGTGTACTTGATGACTCTGAGAATCGGCAGTTCTCCTTGTACAGGTTCACTGGTTGTTAAAAGTTGGGAGTAGTTGGTTCCCATAGCCATAAACACAGTCCCAGCAAAGGGTGGCAGCACCTCTGCCCTCCTATCCAGCTGTAAATGCTGGTGACCCAGGTGGAAAGCAGTCCTCTCTCTGATAGTTTGAATTTCATGTCACTTGGATGTCCCTCCAGACTATTTTAGTGTTTTGCTGTGTGAGCTACTGAGCTCATGCTGTTGTGGCCCTCAGACATTTGTTTCACTTTCCGGGAGGTGACCAGAAACCCACTACAGATCCGGGTGCTAGTGTGTGATGTTGAAGTGTTTTCATCTCTTGGAACACAGGTGGTTGGCCTATACCGGGTGTATATTTATGGTTGCATATAGGTGAAATTTGAATGTATTTCACTTATCAGTGGATATGTGTGCACGTGCCTGATCATTCTCACCTTCCCACCTGCAGCTCCTCCTCACACTCGCGTCTGGAATGTCCTGGCCTCTGCTGTCCATCTGGCTCTTCTGCAAGGCCCTCTGCCTTCATTTATGGTCTGTGACATACAGTTAGGCACTTAAGTCTGCAATTGTTTCCGGGGTCTGGGTCATCCAGACTTGATTTTAATTTTCCCGACTCTGCCACCCAGCATAATGCTGGGCACATAGTACCTTCCTTGTGACATTTTTTTTGTAGAAAGAAAAAAAAGGAATATTTCAGTTACCTTTTTTTTTTTTTTGAAGCTTCTGTGACGTGCATTTAGAACTATTCTTCTTATTTTGCTGTTATTCTGGCCTTCTTTTCCCCTCTTGGGCTAAAGCTTGATTTTTAGACAACTGCTAAAATTGATCTCACTTTCCCCTTACTGTTGTTTTTTTAAATTGATGTAGGTATGTGTCTGTGCATGTGGGCCTGGGTGAGGCAAGACTAAAGGGGTGACGTGGGTTAGCAGGAGTTAGCATGTCTGAGAAGGAGTATCAATTTGTGTTTTTTACCCTTACATCAAAAACTGCTGGTATCATGAGGGCTGCCTTCTTTCTCTCCTGGCAGTCTCTTGCTGGGGGAGGTTTGTTCTATTTATTTGTTTTCCTTTTGGTGGAGGTGGAGGTGCCCGTGGTTTTGGCGGTGGTGGTAAGCTCCTCACTCCATTTTCAAGGGTCTGTGCCCAGGAGTAAGATTCCTGCACAGGCACCTCCTGCCTTCATGGTCAAGCCTGGTTCCTGCCAACAACCCTAATGACCGCTTGAAGCCCTGACCACAGCATCCCCACCATATTCTGCTTTCTTCGTAGCCACTTCCTTTTTGGACCTGAAGCCCGTTTGGTTCCTTTTCTCCTTGCTGTGGCCACTCCTATACTTGAGTTCTTCCAGCATTAACATCAGCTCTGCACCCTGTCTCGTAGTGCGCATCCTGCCAGGGCTGAGCTGCATGGAATGTCTAGTCTTCGCTGTGCCCCTTGCTCCCCACTTAGCCATCTGCGTAAAAGGAAGAATGCAGGCTCCCGCTCAGGAGTGGACTTGAGCCCAGGACAGCATCCCTGAGAGACTTGCTTTCATTTCATAGGACAAGGAAATCCACCTTAGGCTTCCAGGGGTCCAGTTTCCTAACTTTGGTGGTTCCTGTTTTGAGAATAAGGCACCTGCTCACCTTTATGTCCTGGCGCTTGGGAGATTTAATTTTTCCTCCCCTCTTTTCTTCTTGATTTTTTTTCTTCCATAAAAGCAGCCATTTAAAGCACTGTGTTTGCTGAAGCTAAAGGCAGCTTCTGGTAAATACATAATATGTATTTTATATCTTTGCTTAAACCAAGATTTCCCAGCCTCGGCACTGTTGACATTTGGGGCTGGCTAATGCTTGGTTGTGGAGGTCTCTCCTGTGCATTGTAGGATGTTGAGCAGCATCCCAGGCTTCCACCTACCAGATGTCAGTAGCACCACTCTCCTCCAATTTATGGCAAGCAAAAATGTTCCCAGATATTGCCACATGTCCCCTGGGGGAGAGGGCAAAATTGTCCCCAGTTAAGAACCACTGGCCTTGGCTGTTCTACTTCCTGGAATGTCTTCCTTCTTCCCTCATCTTTGCCCCCATTCCCTGCCTGTCGCCCTCTTACGCATCTTTTGAGACCAGTTTGAGAAGTCTTTCCCAATCCTCCAAGATGGTGGTGAACTGCACGCCCACCTGCGCTGACTCACCCAAGGATACGTGGACACTTGGTCGTAACTGTTAGAGAGCCTTTATCATATGATGTTGTTGTTATCTACATATCGGCCTCCCCACCAAATTGCGAGATCCTCAGAGACAGAGAGCTTGTCCAGAGGTGGATCCAGGTTTTGTGGTCCTTTGAAACTCATTACGGTTGGGGAGGGGGGACCATCTTTATGAAAAAGAATATAAATTATGAATACAAAGTGAGGTACAGGGCTCTGGAAGGGGAGAGTGCAAGGGAGTGAGTGTGATGCGCACCCACCTCTGGTCCTTCTGCGTTTTCTGTTCTGCTGCAGAATTTGGCG